ACTTGGTCAAAATGAATGCTTTTCTTGATATGTTGTTGCAGTCTATTGGCTAGGGTTTTGTTGAAGATTTTTGCACCCACATTCATGAGGGATATTGAGCTGTAGTTTTCCTTTTGACTGTTGTCTTTGCCTGGTTTTGGTATCAAGGTTATGCTTGCTTCATAAAATGAGTTAGGGAGGATTCCATCCTTTCTATATTTTGAAATATTTTAAGTAGGATTAGTGCCACTTCTCTGAATGTTTGGTAGAATTCTCCTGTGAACCTGTCTGGGCCAGGACTTTTCTTTGTTGGTAATTTTTTGATGACCTATTGAATTTCTCCTTTTGTTGGGGATCTGTTCAACTTTTCCACATCAGTCTGCGTTAGTTTAGGTAAGTGGTGTTTTCTAGAAATCTGCCCATTTTTTCCAGATTTTCAAATTTGTTGGAGTACAGTTCTTCATAGTATCCTGATATTATCCTTTTTATTTCAGTTGTTTCTGTTGTGATGTCACACATTTAGCTTCTTGTTCGTGTTATTTGTATTCTCTCCCTCTTTTCCTTTGTTAAATTTGTCAGTCATTTGTCAGTTTTATTAATCTTTTCAAAACACCAACTTCTGATCTTGTTGATTTTTTTCTATTGCCCTTCTATTTTCTGCTTCATGGATTTCTGCTCGAATCTTTATTATTTCCTTTCTTCTGGTGACTAGGCTTTTCTTGCTGTTCTTTTTGTAGTTGTTGGAGATGTTGGTTTAAATTGTTGATTTTGGCTCTTTCTTCTTTTTTGATGTGTGCATTTATTGCTATAAAGTAGCCTCTGATCACTGCTTTTGCTGTGTCCCAAAGATTTCAGTATGTAGTGTTTTCATTCTCGTTTGATTCAAGGAACTTTTGAATTTCATTTTTTATTTCTACTCTTACCTGATCTTTCTTAAGGAGAGTGTTGTTCAGTTTACTTTTTTTCCATTGATCTTTCTATTGTTGATTTCTAATTTGATAGCATTATGATCTGAAAAGATGCTTTGCAGTATTTCAATGTTTTTAAATTTATGAAGGCTTGCTTTATGGTCTTACATATTGTCTACTATGGAAAATGTTCCATGTACACTGGAGAAGAATGTATATTGTGTTGTGTTGGGTGAAATGCTCTGTAGGTGTCTGTAACATCAAGTTGGTGGATTGTATTGTTTAGCTCTTCTGAATCTTTGTTGAGTTTCTTTCCAGTTGTTCTATCTTTCATTGAAAGTGATGTATTTAAGTCTCCTACTATGACTGTGGAGTCATCTATTTGCCTTTTCAACTCTTTTAAAGTCTGATTTATGCATTTGGGGGCTCTTTTATTGGGTCCATAGATATCATTATGGTTATATCTTCTTGTTCAATTGATTTAATCATTACATAATGTCCTTCCTTGTCTCATGGTGATTTTTGTCTTAAAGTTATTTTGATCAGAAATTTATATTGCCACTCCTGCCGTCTTACAGTTGTCATTTGCTTGATGTATCTTTTTCTAACCTTTGATTTTTAGTCTATTTTTGTCTTTGTCTCTAAGGTATGTCTCTTGTAGACTGCATATTGATGGGTTTTGTTTTCTTATCCAGTTTGCAACTCTCCGTCTCTTGAGTGGTGCATTTCATCCATTAACATTCAGTGTAATTATCAACAGGTATGAATTGGTTCCTGTGATTTTGTTATGTGTTTTTTCATGGTGTCCCTGGTTTCTTTGTCCCATATTATTTTTTGTGCTAAGTTCATTATGTTTCTGTGTCATGTTATCATTTCTTTTCTTGCTGTTGTTTTAGTATTTGCTGAATATTTGTGCTTGTCCTCTTTTTTATTGTGATGTGAAGGTTTATCATTTTTCTTTGAGATTACTCTATGATTTATAATTTTCTCCCTGAGTTTAGAACAGTCCATTCTGTCTTGCAACTCTCTTGACTTCCTCACCATTTAGAAGTTCTGTAACTACACAGTATTTTCCCTCTTTTTAGTTTATAGTTGTCCTCACTTGCCAATTGATGTCTCTTGTTCCCTGTTTACTATCTTGTAAACTTATTTTACTTTGGATATGTCCATAGCTATGGTTTCTGGGTTATGTCATCTTGTGTATTAATGATTGGTTATTATTTACTATTTTTGGTTCTCTGTTCAAAGGACTCCCTTTAGTATCTCTTGCAAGGTTTGTCTGGTTTTTAAAAAATTCCCTTAGTTTCTGCTTATCTGGGAATCTCCTAATTTCACCATCATATTTGAGGGACAGTTTTGCTGGGTATATAATCCTTGGTTGAAAATTTTTCTCTTTCAGGGTTTTATATATACCATCCCATTGCCTTCTCGCTTTCATGGTTTCTGCTGAGAAATCAGAGCTTATTCTTACTGATTGTCCTTTGTAAGTAGCTTTTTGTTTTTCCCATACTTCTTTCAGGATTCTTTCTTTGTCTTTGCTTTTGATGAGTTTAATGATAATATGTCTTGGTGATTTCCTTTTTGGGTCTTTCCTGTTTGGGGTTAGTTGGACTTCCTGAATGGATATATTCTCATCTTTCATCATATCAGGGAAGTTCTCTTCCAACAAATATTTGACAATTTTCTCAGTGGTTTTACTTTTCTCTTCCTGTTCTGGAATTTCAGTGACACATAGGTTATTCCTTTTGATGGTATCCCACATGAACCTTAGGCTTTCTTCATTTTGTTTTGATCTTTTTTATGATTGATCCCTTTCCAAAGAAGTATTCAGGTATTACTCTTCAATCTCATTAATTCTGTCTTCCATTGCATCAATTCTAGTCCTTTGCCCTTTCAATATATTGTCTGTTTCTGACAATTTAGTATTAATCTTCTGGATTTCTATCTGTAGATTTAGAATCATGTCTAATTTTTCATTTATTTTGTCATTTTGTTCTTTTATTTTCTTCCAAAATTCCTCTAGCGTTTTGTCTGTGTTTTCCTTGGTGTGTCTCTCCTTGGTGGTATCCTTTGAAGATACCTAAATAAAATTCTTTTGAATTCCTTATCAGTGAGTTCCAATGCTGCTTCTTCCTCAGGGACATGTTCTAGGTCTATATCCTGCTCCCTTGTTTCTACCACTTTATCTTACTTCTTTGTGTGGACTGTGATGGTCTGTTGTCTCTGAGACAGTGTGGCATTGTTGTATTTAGATCTCTGTTAACTGTTTGTGAAGAGCAGCCAAGGGTGAGTCAGGCTCTTCTTGGTAATTGTTTATCATTAGCCCATTGGTAGAGAAGGAAGTGGTGGCTCTCACTCAGTAAGTGAAGCTGCAGAAGGTATGGCTGTAGTTGTGTCATGGGGACTGTCTTCCACTCATTTAGACAAAAATAACAATTGAATAACCATCAAAAAAGTAAAAGCAAATGGATAAAAAACACACTGTGTAATCACACAGGAACAATAACAAAAAGAAAAGAACAAGGGGGAAAAGAAAAAGAAGAAAAGACAATATCTGGGGAGAGGTAATAAGATAAAAAAAAGTAGAGAAAGAAAATAATGAAGAAAAATATTGGATAAATGCAAAAAGAAAAACAAGGAATGGGGTTAACCACAAGAAAGAGAAAAAAAAATTACAATCATGAACAGGGAAAAGAAAAAAAAAAGGTGAAAATAGAACCTGGCAGGGAAAGAATAAAGAATAATGGTAAAAAGGATAAAAGTAATAATAGTAGTCATAGTTATAAAACAGACAAAAACAAACAAACTGAAAAACAGAAAAAGGAAAATAAAAATTGGCAGAGGACAGGGCAGGGCACCCAGCCTCCGTCTGAGCACGTAGACTGGGAATGGAATTGCTGCTGGCCCAGAAGGTGGGTGGGTGGGAGTGAGAGCTGCACCTCTGTTCACCAAGAGGGTGTGGGGTATAAAAGTAACAAGGGGAATGTCACACCTTTCCAGTCGTCTGCGTCTGGAATGTCCTTGTGGTTCCCGGCAAGTGGAGCCTGTTCTTAAGTCCCTGGAATCTGGGAGAATGCTGTCACTTTAAATATCCAAAATGGTCAAACCACTTGTAATCATTCAAAATGGCTGCACCCTCCGGACAGGCAAAAATCCACAGCTCAGCCCACTTTCCTCTTTGCTGCTTTCCCTTTTATTCCCCAGCCACCAGAGCAGTCCTCCTTGCAGTCCCTGGCTAGCAGGGCCAATTTTTAGTTTCATTCTTAGGCGTTGCCACCACTAGGCAAAATCCAAGCTGTCTGTGCTGTCAGGATCACTGCCAGACTGCAGGTCTGTATGTCTCCTTTTTTGGTGTTTTCATGCAAATTCGCCAGCTAGTTGCAGTTTAGTCCACTTCTGTATCCTTCCCTTCCAGGCTCAGAGGTCCAGGATTATCTTCTGTATCAGTGTTAATTGGTTCCCCTTTTCTTTGTTGAGAAGGTCTGTGCAATCTTTCTGCCTATTCCGCCATCTTACTGGAACCTCTATTTCCAAATTTTTAAGGAAGGGCCATACCATTTTCCACAGTGGTTATACCATTTTACAGTCCCACCAGTACTGTATGAGAATTCCATTCCTTACCTTTGGCAGCATTTGTTGCTTTCTGTCTTGTTAATAACTTTGGTATTATTAGTAGAGTAAGAGGTTATCTCATTGTTTTGATTGTGCCTCTCTAATTGCTAATGATAATGAGCATTTCTTCATTTGTTTGTTGGCTGGCTGAGTATCTTTTTTTGGGGAAATGTCTGTTCATATCCTGTGCCCATTTTTTAATTGGATTATTTGTCTTCTTTACTTTAATTTTGTGAATTGATTTTGTTCATTCAGTAAGTCTTTGTGAATGACTAATGAATAAAATGTTGAGTCAGATCCTTGGTTTGTAGTCATGAACCAGACATAGTTCTGGCCTCAAGGATCTTCCAAGGTAAAATGTGTACAACTTTCTATAGAAGTTAATACAGAAAAGTAATTTCTATATAGACACAGCTATGTTTTGGTTTGTCCAATAATTGTTAAGGCAAAATAACAGTAAAGTGGTAGAGTTCTTTATATAATTTTTTTTTTTTCTTTCAGGTCAAACACTATTCAAAGTTGTAATCAAATCTCTATCACCTAAAGAGTTAGTCCGGATTCATGCATCTAAACCTTTGGATAGGAACGATGGAACATTTTTGATGAGATATAGAATGTATGAAAGTGTCAATAATGGACTAAAGATAGAAGTTCTTTATGATGATAAACATGTAGCTCAATCTCCCTATATTTTGAAAGGTAAGTATTATTACATAATCCATATCCTGTCTATTTAATGGAATTTCCTGTAATACTGTTACAAGAAATATATTACATAAGACCAACTTTTAGACCTTGTTGGTTCCTAAAATCAACAGAATGTAGTCAGTCCCTTCCCAGTGACTTTGCCACTACTATTTGCAGAGGTTCCTTATTTGGCAGGAGAACCCACAGTTATTTGACTTAACATATCTTTGCCCTCACATGTAGGAGTTTATCCATATGAGTTTATTGTTAGGAAGCAATGGAATAACAGAAGATGAGGTGTCATCATCATCATTCCATCTCAGTCCATTTTTGGTATAATTTTCTGGGTGTCCTATGGCTTGCATGATTTTTAGAAGCAATGATCATGCCTTCTGGTGTTCCACTGTATTTTCTAGGGCTGCATGTTTTCTAGGCAATGTAGTCTGTTAAAGTCTTAGCCATGTACAACAGCAGTAGGAAAACAGAACAGGAGGTCATAGTCTGGGAAAAGGACTAAACTAAGTTTAAACCCAAGTTTCTAAACCCAAGAGTTACCTTGTATTTACCTCATAAACAGAAACAAGTCCCTTAGTGTGGTACTTGTTAATGGAACATGATGTTGTACTTGTTTTGCCTTCCATAGGACCAGTGTATCATGAGTACTGTGAGTGTCCCGAAGAGGATCCTCAGGCCTGGCAGGAAACCTTCTCATGTCCAACCAAGGAACCACAAATTGCAAAAGATTTTTCTTCTTTCCCCAGCATTAATCTCCAGCAGATGCTACAAGAAGTTCCCAAAAGATTTGGGGACGAGAGAGGTGCCATTGTTCATTACACAATTCTCAATAACCACATCTACAGGAGATCTTTAGGGAAATACACAGATTTCAAAATGTTCTCTGATGAGATTTTGCTGTCTTTGGCAAGAAAGGTATGAGACTGAATTAATTGATTCCAAAAATAATAGTTTAGTTGTTTTATTGTAACATTTAAATGCTTAGAAAATACATAGAATTATATTTGCAAAGTATAAAAATGAATTCCAGACTTACCACTTGAGGGTCCATAGCTTCTCCACATATAAAGATCTCTCCTTTAATATTCAAATTGAATGGGTTGAGCCTCCATTCCAGGTAACTAGGCCATATAGGGCACTTCTGAGGTTTCTGTGATAGTTCACTTTTTTGTGCCTCAAAGTCACTTTTTTGAAATGTTTTGTTTCTGCTGAACCCTTCTCCCATTGAGATTTCTCCTACTTCAGCTGTTCTCTTTTCCTCAAAATGATTTTAACTTAGAACACATTTGCCTTGTTTTGCTTTTAAACACCTCTAGAAGATATTGTGTACATTTTGATGAAGGTTGGGGTAACAGGGAGAGGTTATTTTACTGCATAGTAAAACAACCAAACAAATAAACAGGAAAAAAAAAAAAACAATCAAACAATAAACTCCAATATTCAAGAAATCGACAGGCAAGGGATCTGTTCTAATTGGGCTTTCAGTCATCCTTGTCTGGTAATTTCTCACTGCCTATCCTGTCATCACCCACTCCTCGGAAGGAAGGTTGGGCAATCTACTTCCGTAGTGATACTGCCTCGGAGACCTGAGGGGTCGTTATGAGTCGGGTCCGACTCCACGGCACATAACAACAACAACAACATCCTTTATCATATGGTTGAGCCCCTATCTTTCAGAAGAATTCACCCCATCCCCCAAAGTTTCCCACCCACCCACCCCCGATTACTTGGTCCCTATTTGTACATTTGCAAAACTCTGACTTCTTAGGTAGCTCTGTGATTCAAAGTCAGCTTTAGCATATCCTGCTTTCACACCATGCAGGGTGAAGTTTGAAGTCAGACACACTTCACCTGTCTCACCCAGAGGGACTATCAAGGTGATTTTTATAAACAAAAAAACCAACTATCCTGACATAAGGTATACAACTACCCACATATGTAATCAGTTATTTTGAATAGCCGTCGCCCCTTCCCACAGCCCAACTATGAGCATATTATGGGGACATGATTCTAAAGATGGCATTCTCTTCCTGGGCTACCACCAGTCCATCCTGCCCTGCATACCTTGCATGTTATACGCATATTGCTGTCACTGTGGCACTGGTTTTCGGATAGAGGTGATTTTACCCTCTAGGGGGCATTTGGCATTGTTTAGAGATATTTTTGGTTTTTCCAACAGAGGAGTTGCTCCTGGCATCTAGTGGGTAGAGGCCAGGAATGTTGCTAAACATTCTGTAATACACACAGCAGTCACCCACAATAAAGCAAAGTGTTGCTGTTGAGAAATCCTGCTCTATTTTGAGAACCTCTGATGCTGAGCTAACTGATGAGTTTTTAAATGCTCAATTAGTTTATACAATGAACTTATAAATTCACATCCTTCACCTTCCCCTTTGTTCCAGGTTATTTGCCAGGTGGCTAGGAAGAAATCTAAGATAAATGAGACTAAGTCCTGGCCTTTGAGCACTCTAGTGGGGCTTGTTTTGTTATATGGAAGTGAATGTGGTATGTGAATACAAACAAGTTAATTTTACCACCACATGATAGGCCATTAAGAAAAGTAGCTGCCACAGGTTAAATTACCTGAGGAGGGTGGTTACTGATGAGGCTTGAAGGATGAGGAGACCGCCAAGTAAATAAGTGAAAGGAAAACATTCCAAGTGAAAGGATTTATATATTAAAATGGATGGCATTTTCACAGAATAGCCAAAAGTTGGCTGGTATGTGGGCAGATGGAAGATGAGGCTCAAAGCTAAGCTGGAGCAAGACATGGGCTTTAAATGGCAACCAGAAAGTTTAGACCTTGTCCTATAAGCTTAAGGGTCTATTAAGCATGGTAGTGACATATTAATTTGAGTTTTAGAATTTGGGTAGCAATGTGGAGAGCAGATTAGAGTGGGGAGATGCTAGAATCAGGACACCTAAGAAGGAAGCTATTGTAACAATCTAGATAAGAGATGATAGGGGCCTAACCTAAGGCATTTATCATGGAGATGGAAATGGAATGGCACATTCTAGAAATAAAGGGCTATGTGAGGAGGGGTACAGTGAGGGAAAACAAGGGATCAGGTCTGACTTTGTAGACTGTCACTTAGGCAGCTGATAGAGAGAGTTCTTGAGCCACTCATTTATACCTCTCTATGCAATTTCAACTTCTGTAATCCTAAACATAACTTTAAGTGTTATCTCTGAATAGATGTTGCTAATTCCTGTTGTTGTTGTTGTTGTTATGTGCCGTCGAGTCAAACCCGACTCATAGCAACCCCTCCTTGGGTTTCCGAGGCAGTATCACTACGGAAGTAGGATTGCCCAACCTTCCTTCCGAGGAGTGGCTGGTGGGTTTGAACCGCCAGCCATCTGGTTAGCAGGCAAGTGTCTTAGCCACTATGCTACCAGAGCTCCCTGCTGATTCCTACTTATGTGAATTTGCCATGTATCATCCTCACCTGTGATTTTTATTATTATTGATAACCAAGAGACTTCTCTCTTTTCCTACTGTTTCCAAACATTCATTTCTATCAGAAAGCCAAAAGATTAGAGTATTTCATATCAAAGACCGAGGTCTTTTCAGAACTGATTATTGTACTTTGTTTACTTAGGTCCTTCTCCCTGATTTAGAATTTTATATTAATGTTGGAGATTGGCCCTTGGAGCATCGGAAGGTCAATGAAACTCCTGGCCCTATACCTATCATTTCATGGTGTGGCTCTCTGGATTCAAGAGATGTTATCCTTCCAACATATGACATCACCCACTCCACACTTGAAGCAATGAGGGGTGTTACTAATGATCTCCTCTCCATTCAGGGAAATACAGGTAAATTAAAAGTTAATTCTCTAAGAAAAAGCTTATAGGTAAGAAAATGATGAAGAGAATGTTCAGTGAGGGAGAGTAAATGCATATATTTAAATAACCACTTTTATTATTTCTAATAACAGGGTTAAAGAAAATACCCTAAATTCTGATACAGTTTTTTTCAAAATCTTCTAGTCCAAAAATTAAAGATAAAGTTTTCTAGTCTGATAGAACCTGGTGAGAGCCCTGAGACTATGGCCCCTAGCTACCCTTCAGGTCTGGAATTGAACTCACTCCTGTCGCTTCCAGCCAAACAATAGACAGGCATATGGTGTGAACATTTATATCAGGTAGATACACTACTTGGAGTGATTAATCATGGGAGAACAGAAGGGCAGTGTTTGCACAGGGAGACAGCTCAGAGGGCAAGAGTGCATGGGAGGGAAGGACACAGGGAAGAGGGAACTATGGGGAAAAAGTGGGAAGAGAGCTGTTACATTGTGGGGCATTGCAGTCAATGTCATGAGACAAAATGTGTATGAACTGCTGTATGGAAAAGGAATTTGCTCTGTAAACTTTCACCCAAATCACAATAAACATTTTTTTTTTAAAAAATTTTAAATACATGGGTAGAGCTATTAATGTCTAAGCCTGCTTTCCATGTAAAACTGAGTTTCCTTTGAGTTAATTAGTTGTAAATACCACTTAAAAATATACGTTTGGCAAAATTGCCAGTTAATATAATTCTGACTCTAATACCTTAATGTTGCTGGATGCAATGACAAAGAATTTTAAAGAATTTATAATTACATGCAAATATAATCAAATTGTGATAATCAGTATAATTAGGATGTTCTTGACTCCAACATGTTGTAAGAAATTCTCCCTTTTCCTCTTTCTACTTCTCTTCATCCTTTCAAATCTTTGCCTTGTTTGATGGTCTTAGATTTATGATACAACACACCTTTTTAAAAAAAGAAAGACAGCAAAACTCTTCTAGCAAAAACCCTGCCTTATGTTGATAGTCTCTCTTTGTGCTTATTGTGGTTTGTTGGACTTCTATGGTAAGACCAGAGACTTTGTATATCTAGAGGTAGCATGAAATGAAAACTGACCTAGTTTTTCTTTTACAACAGTAAATGACTTGAAAGCATGCTAAAGTGGTAAAAAGACTGACTTCTCTGATTTCTTTGTTTAATGATTCATCCCATAGTCACTGAGAAATGTTAACTAATAAACTTCTTGCTTTAGCATAACAGAAATAGACTTAACTTCATTCTTCCAGAAAAATTCCCTTGCCAAAAAAAAAAAAAAAAAGATATAAGCATATGCATATGATTGGATATACTATATATTTCCATTTAAAGGATTAGGAAGTCTTCTCTATATTCAGAACCTAAGGATTGAAGATTTGTGGGTATTACTTAGTTATATAATTTTTACTACTGTTGCTCTAAGAATAAAAGTCTAGTTCATGTTTGATTGTGAAACACAAAAAATAGAAGCTAATGCCTTGATGAATGGGCCAAGCCACTGAAATCACCCCTTTTTGTGTTGGACTTTGTTCTGGTTTACCTGGTGCTGGTCTGACAGGAATATACCACAAATGGAATGGCTTGAACAAGCAGGAGTTTATTCTCTTACAATTTTGGAAGTTTTAAGTCCGAATTCAAAGTGCTAGGCTCTAGGGGCTGGGTGAAAACCCCTCAACCTTGGGCTTCAGCTCTGCCTCTTGTTCCTGGCCCTCTGAAGCTGGAAGCTTTTCTTCACTCAGATAGCTGCTGTCTGCTGAGGTTGAGAAGCCCAAGATTCACAGGTAAAAAGGCACAATCCTAATGTTACCAAACAACATGGCAGGCCACTAATTCAAATCCAGGAGAAGTCCCAAGATTCGTAGGGCGTAGCATGCTGCCGAACAGCTACTTGGCCATATGCAGAGTTCAAGCATGCCAAAAGGCTAGAGACCAATCCCAAAGCTTCTCCTCATATATGGGAAGAAGTCCATATCCCTAAAGCAAGTATTCAGCTGCTCATGGCAGATTCCACCATGGAGTTGATTGCCAGTCTCATCATGGGGAATAACTACCTCCAGCTGCCCAGCCACTCAACCAGGCCCAGCCAAGTTGACAACAACCTTAACTACCACAGACTCGGTCCAACATTATTTTGGATATTTTTTGTGTCATGACAATAGAACACTCTTACATTTTATTTGTATGAACTTACACTAATGACAAATGGATAAAATTAGAGCATTCTTTTGTATGATACATCAAATAAGAGGATTATTTTTGCATATTTATTCTCTAGCAAATTGAGATTCAATCCCATATTTTTTGGAACTAGCATTTTAGTTAGGAGATGAGTGGTAATAAAAGATTATGATTTAACATATTAAATGACAATGATGGATTAAAGATTGTGCTTACCATATAAAATTGCCAAATTCATAATTAATTTTTTTATGGCCTTGAATTTCTAGGACCTTCCTGGATCAATAAAACAGAGAAAGCTTTCTTCAGAGGCAGAGATAGCCGAGAGGAAAGGCTTCAGTTGGTACAGATGTCCAAAGAAAATCCACAGCTACTAGATGCAGGAATTACAGGATATTTCTTTTTCCAAGAGAAGGAAAAGGAGCTTGGAAAAGCGAAGTTGATGGGTTTCTTTGACTTTTTTAAGGTATGCATTTAAGTCCTCCTGAATAGATCTACTCAGAAGGAAGATGGGGCAATCTACTTCCGTAGTGATACTGCCTCGGAAACCCAAGGAGGGGTCGCTATGAGTCAGGGCCAACTCAACAGCACATAACAACAATAACAACATATAGATCTACAAGTGGTGGCACAAACGCTTAAGTACTCGGCTACTAATCAAAACATTGGTAGTTCGAACTCATACAGTAACTCTACGCGAGGAAGACCTGGTGATCTGCTCCCATAAAGATTACCACTTAGAAAACCCTATGGTATGGAATGGTTCTACTCTGTCACATAGAGTCACTATGAGTGGAAATCAACTTGACAGCACCTAGCAACAACAACATAAGAGTCTTGGTGGCACAAGTAGTTTGGAGCAGTTCTACTCTATAATACATGGTGTTGCCATAAATTGGAATTGATTCGATAGCCATTGGGTTTGGTATCTTTGGTTATATGGATCTGAAGTGATAAACGTATGCTAAAAGTCTGTTAAATAGCTGGGCTTTGGCAAATTTCTCCTGTTTTATGAATTGGCATACATTTTCTTATCAGAGGAAATTGCAAAACTCATTATGGTTGTTTTTTTGTTTTGTTTTTTAACTTTGTCTACCAAACAGCTTGTTGTTGTTGTTGTTGCTATGTGCTCTCAAGTCAGACCCGACTCATAGCAACCCCTCCTTGGGTTTCCGAGGCAGTATCACTACAGAAGTGGATTGCCCCATCTTCCTTCTGAGGAGCGGCTGGTGGGTTTGAACTGCCAGCCTTCTGGTTAGCAGTCAAGTGCCTTAGGCACTACACTACCAGAGCAGCTTAGAGCTAAATTAATGCTCAAAATATCATACAAGGGTTAACTTAGAGTTTTGGTGTATTTATTTCTCTTTGTTTTTCTTTGTTTTGTGTTTGTTTTAGTAAACTTGGAATATAAATGTCTTTTACATAAAGTGATCTCAAATCCCTTTTGTAAATAGAAAATATAAATTCCATATAAGTAACATAGAAGCTAGAATTGGGATTTAAGAGACTTGATCTCTAGTCCTGCTTCTACCACTGACTGTGGGACTTTCATCAGTTAGTCCCTCTGCTCTCTAAACATGTGGCCTAACTCCTTCATAATATTATCATGAGGCACTTCGTAGTATTACCATGAAGCTCGAAGGAAGCCAGAGATGTGAGCAATGTGACAAAATGTGATAGATTTTTTTAAAATCCCTGGTACCAATTACTTAAGAAATTTTTGTTTCAAGGAGTCCCAGGGATGCAGTGGTTTGAGCACTTGGCTACTAACCAAAAGGTCAGCAGCTTGAACCCACTAGCTATTCCATGGGAAAAAAAAAGATGTAACAGTCTGCTTCTGTAAAACTTTACAGCCTTGAGAACCCTGTAGGGCTGTTCCACTTTATCCCGTTGGGTCCCTGTGAGTCAGAATTGACTTAATAGCAGTGGTTGTTTTTTATGTTAATTGCTTCCATGAACAACTTCCTCCTTTGCCATGAGACTAGAAGAACTGAATGGTGCCCAGCTACCAATACTGCACATATTGATCAAAGATTCTATTGAATCCTGATCAAAAGGAGGGAAATGCAGAACAGAATTTCAAATATTCATGGAATCCAGACCTCCAGAAACTATTGCCCTGAGATAATCTTTAAACCTTAAACCAAAAATATCTCCTGAAGTCTTCTTAAAACCAAATAGCAGTTTAGTTTAACTAGTAAAAGGGAGCTCTGGTAGCATAGTAGCTAAAAGCACTTGACTGCTAACCAGAAGGCTGGCGGTTCAAACCCCCCAGGCACTCCTCGGAAGGAAGGTTGGGCAATCCTACTTCCGTAGTGATACTGCCTCGGAAACCCAAGGAGGGGTCGCTATGAGTCGAGGGCCGACTCGACGGCACATAACAACAACAACAAGTAAAAAAGATCTGCCTTGAGCATTATACTCTTTAAGAACTACAGAGGATCAAATTGACAACAGCAAATCAAAAGATTAGATAGTAACCTTAGTGGGCAGTGAGTTTATGTTAATGAGAGAGGAACAACTCAGAAGAGGAGGGTAAGAATGGTTTCCCAACCTGAAGAATGTAATCAATGTCACTAAATTGTATATGTAGAAGCTGTTGAATTGGTGTATATCTTGGTCTGTATATACTCAACAACAAATTAAATAAAAGTTTTAAAAATAAATTAATTACCAGATCTGTGAACGTATGCTGTTCATCTCGGTATGATACAGTGAAAAGAACATGAGATTCAGACTCAGAGAACAAATTTCTATAAATTTCTCTGAACACCAATTTTCTCCATCATTTAAAGAAAAAAGAAGAATAGTAATACTTTACATTATTATAGTCAAATGAGATTTAATTCCTATGAAAAGTGCTTTTGAAATGTAAATCTAAGTTTATTAATCCAACAAATATGTATTCATATGTAAACTGAGTTGCCAGCATTTTGCTAACCCTTAAATTTTCCCAGACTTTGTCTCCTCAATTCCAAAATTATAAAATGAAGATATGAAGATAATGCCTTCTTGTTTCATAGGTAGGAGCGCTGGTGGCGCAGTGGTGAAGACATCTGGGTGCTAACCAAAAGCAGTTCAAACCCACCAGCCTCTCAGTGGGAGAAACATGAGGCAGTCTACTTCCATAAAGAGTTACAGCTTGGGAACCCTATGGGGCATTTCTACTCTGTCCTATAGTATAGCTATGAGTCAGAATCAACTCAATGGCAGTAGGTTTGGATTTTGGTTTCATGGGTCGATATGAGGAACCAATGAGATAATATGTCAAGGGATGTGTAAATTGTTACCAGTGTTCGGCTTTAATAAATACAGAACTTGTGAAAGTAATTTTCCTACCTGGATATAAAAATCTGAATTCCCTGTTACATAGACATAGTTGAATTTCCTAAAATTTCTAAAATATTTCCTAAAATTATTTACCATCTTTGCTTTAAATGCGTTGTATTTCTTAAAATTGACCTGCTAAAGGCTGCTTATGATTTTAATACAGAAAAAAAGTAATTTACAAGGTATACTGTACAACTTTCAAACACTAAAGTTGGAAAATGGAAAGTAATTCTTCTGTATTTAGTATTGCAGTGTTGATGAGAAAGAGTGAAGCAAATGACCTTGTTAACAATTTTGTTTTTGTTTTTAATCTTTTAGTACAAATATCAAGTGAATGTCGATGGGACCGTGGCTGCTTACAGATATCCTTATCTCATGCTGGGTGACAGTCTGGTTCTAAAGCAGGACTCGCCGTATTATGAACATTTCTACACAGCACTAAAGCCTTGGAAACATTATGTTCCAATTAAAAGAAATCTTAGTGATTTACTAGAGAAAGTTAAATGGGCCAAGGTATGTTCTCCACAATGTTAGTTTCTTTAGGCAATGACAAATTCACTAATACTGGTGGCAAAAGGTCTATCACAGCATAATTTCATTTGACATAATGTAATCAAAAGAAATGTTCATTTTTTAAATTTTTATTCTCTTGAAATATCCAAAGGATCAACTCGAGGATCATTTTGTATACCCTCTATCAATGTTTTTAGGAATTTCTGTAAGATTTGAAGTCCAGTGTTACATAGAATATAGATTTTCCAAATGAATCACTGTTCATGCTTACATATTGTTTTGGTTCTCTAGTAGTGTTGGTATAACAGAAATACCACAAGTGGTTGCCTTTAACAAACAAGGATTTATTCTCTTACATTTACGAGGCTAGAAGTCCAAGTTCAAAGTGCTAACTCTAGGGGCTGGATGAAGGCCCCTCAACCTTGGGCTTCAGCTCCGCCTCCTGTTCCAGTTCCACTGGAGTTAGAGGCTTTTTCTGAGTCATGCAGCTGCTGGCTACTGAAGCTGATTGACCCAAGATTGATAAGTAAAATGGCACAGTACCAAGCAGGCCACTAGTTGAACTAGGCCACTAGTTCAAGTCCAGAAACAGTCCCAAAATTGGCAGACGACAGAGCAGGCCACTAATGACTCAGCTGTGCCAAGAAGCTAGAGACTTTTCTCAAAGCTTCTCCTTATATACTAGAAACAGGGCACATCCTGAAGTCAACTAATTAGCTGCTCACAGCAGATTCCACCATGGAGTTGATTATACCACATTTAATCTCATCATGGAAAATTACTGAATCAGCTGCCCAGCCACTTAGTACCACGGCCCAGACAAGTTGACACATAGTCTTTAACTATCATACATTTATAAGAACATATCAAATGTAAATTGCAGATTCAAACAAACACAAGGTTAAAGGGTTTTATATATATATAAGGAGCTATGGTGGTACAGTGCCTAAGGCATTTGACTGCTAACCATAAGGTTGGCAATTCAAACCCACCAGCCACTCCACAGAAAAAAGACAGTGCAATCTACTTCTGTAAAGACTTACTGCACTGGAAATCCAGTGGGAGTCACTGTGAGTCAGAATTGATTCAACAGCAGTGGTTTGGTTTTGGTTTATATATAAGAAAATATTTAAGGCAATTACGATATTGTTTCTCCTCCTTAGTTCCAAAAAAAAAGGTACAAGTTTGTTATGAATATCATGCTACACCATCCTAAGAATCAAGGCTCCCATAAAAAACGAATTCTTTTTTAAAAGTGAAAGTATTAAGAAGCTATTGTGTTTTATTATAGAAATATAAAAATTTACCCTTCCATTATAAGACTTTATTTGGTTTATGTGTTTCTGCGAAGCAGTATTTGGTTATGGAAATGACTGTGTGCCTGAGGCAGAATCATTTTTGTGATCCTTATAAACAAAGCTTTCTAGGAGTCAGAATTGCTTGCAAATGGCTTTTCCTATGGGCAGCACGGTAGAAGATTAGTTGTTTTCCAAAAATATAATTAGGAATGCTGACTATTCCTGGTACTGAAGGAACAGCCTTAGGGTACTGAGGACTGATTTTTTTTATTAAAACAACAATACATTCTTTCATAGCTACCATTTTATAATAGTATCTCTACTGCATATTTAAATGAGTTTTTAAAAGATGTTGTAATATGATACCTGATTCATTCCATTCTGGTTTGCATAAAATGCATAAAAATATCAAGCAAAGAGTACTAGGATGGGGGCATAGATGACGAGCCCCAAGCTTACATCCTGGGTAGCTGGGAAAGTACCGAGACAGTCACAACAAGAATGTTGTGTATTGTTGCATATTTACTGAGCCTGATTCTGAACATGTGTGATCATTTCTCTTTAACAGAGTTATCTAGGAAAGTACTTTATCTATTTTCATTATCTCCATCTTTATTTTGAAAAGGCTTCTTTTCATAGAACCTCAAACCAACATCCATAGCCTCATTCTTAAAGTTATATTTCCATCATGTTCCAATCTTTTCTTTGCTCTTCCCATTCAGCCTCACACCTGCCCTACCTCACACTCACTCCTAGCTTTCTTTGTGGGTCTCAAGAGTAATCTGCATTTGTTGTTTCTTTGTAAACCTTTCAGGAAAATGATGAAGAAGCCAAGAAGATAGCAAAAGAAGGGCAGTTGACTGCTAGGGATCTGCTACAGCCACACAGGCTTTACTGCTACTATTACCAAGTACTGCAGGTCAGTTCGGAGTATTGATCCTGATGGGTCAAGCTTCTTCAGACTGTGTGCTTGGCCTGACTGCTTTGCTTCTTGAAGAGTGAGCCTATTGAACTCTTGCTAAGCTGGGGCACCAGCCCATAGAAAGATAGGACTAGCTGCTGAGTCCTTCTGTGGCCACAATATTTTGATCTCCATTTGGTAATGGTTAGAGCCCCTACAAATATATATTAAAAGCTCCTCCCATCTTCTCAGCTATCTTTTATTAAATGCCTTTTAGAATTCCTAGTTTAGGTGTTCTTTAAACCTCAGAGAACAACATCTTTCCTCATCTTGAAAATAAGAAATCATTGACATCTTATTCCCCTCAAAATGTCCACCTCCTTGTTGCCTAAATTGGAGTCCTTAGAAAGAGTACAGGGTGGAAAGCAAATATATAAATATAAATAAAGCCATCAAGCAAATGGTAAAGTATTTATAATAATTCTAACATCTTACGGCTGAATTCTGAAGTGCAAATGTTTATTGGGAATCTGAGGATTGCCTCTTTGGATATTTATCTGGCATTTGCCCAGTAAAATTGACCAAGAAAAAATGGTACATTTTAATTTTTCTATGGGGAAGAAAAAATTTCCTCAGATGCCTGTGAATACTATCATTATACTATGTAAAAAAAAAAGAAAGGAAAATAATTAATTTCATCATTTACTGGAAACAATCTTCCCTTAAAGGGGTTCTGCCCCCTCTACTAATCTGGCTTTAATTTTTTTTTTTTTAATTGTGATTTGGTTGAAAATTTACAGAGCAAATTCATTTTCCATACAGCAGTTCACATACACTTTGTCTCATGACACTGACTGCAGTTTCCCACAATGCAACAGCTCTCTTCCCACTTCTTCCCCATAGTTACCTCTTCCCTGTGCCCTTCCCTCTCATGCACTCCTGCCCCCTGAGCTGTCTCCCTATGCATACATAGCCCTTCTGTTCCCCCATGAGGAGTGTATATACCTAATGTAAATGTTCAGCTCATATGCCTGTCTTTTATTTGGCTGGAAGCCACAGGCGTGGGTTCAATTCCAGACCTGAAGGGCAGCTAGGGGCCATCGTCTCAGGGGTTTCACCAGGCTCTATCAGACCAGCAAATCTGGTCCCTTTTTTTTTTTCCCCCAAATTGTTTTGAGTTTTTTCCACATTGTTCTCCCACTCTGTCCAGGATCTCTACATAGATTCCCCCTCCAGGTAGTTGACAGTGGCAGCCAGGAGCCATCTTGTTCTCCTGGTCTCATAGTTGTACAGGCTGAGGATTGCGTGGTGTACCAGTCCCTTGGACTAAATGTTTCCATGTGTCTTTGGTTTTCTTCATTCTTCTTTGCTCTGGATGAGGAAAGACCCATCATTGTATTTAGACAGCCGCTTACAA